TAATATGCAAGTCATCGCGTGATTAAAATTTTAGGTTAATATATTTTTTTGTGGATTTTTTTTGTGCTGCATTTTATGGTCATTTTAAAAAACATAGTAGATCGTCAAATTTTTACCCAAAATTTTAATAGTATTTTTCTGCCGTTTATAAAAGGATTGGCAATTAAGAAATCTTTGTTCAAAGAGGCTGGTCTACTAAAGTGATCTCATGATGTAATTGATAAGATTGAGATTCCTCATTGTATGGGTACACCTAAGAAACCAAGAAATCTTATTGCACAAGTACATGTTCAAAAATTGAGTGAAACTAAATTTTAACTTCTTTTTTATCAATGTGTCTCATGAATATTAATAAAGACCAGGAATGCAAATCCTTCTGAAAATATTTATGAATTTATACTCAAAAAATTTTTTGATTAATTGTATAAAAATATACAAAAGGCACAGCCAAGAAGTGATAAACTAACCATATGATTATTCTGCCAATACAAAAAAAGTCTCATAATTTATTAAATTATAAATTTGATATTATGCTAATATTATCATATATGATATACTGTAAATAATATCTGATGCATAAGAAGTCACTGTGATTATGCATTCACCAAATTCTCTTCAGATTCTCTTTGTCACATAGTGACGATCTCTGTTTAACTAAACAATTTTAAAGTAGAATTGTATATGCGAAGTCATGTTTTCAATTGACAAAAAATTTTTTGGCATAGAATTTTCTAAAGTAAACCATACAACGGAAAAAGAATAGTAGTTAAGGCTGCAGATAACTTCAATATTTTCAAGGACTTATTATATACAACTTATTTTATTTAGTAATTTTTGCCTTGTCAAAGATATATTTTTTACTTTTTTTTTTTTTATTGCACTTTTCTAAAATAAACCATAGAATTAGACATACAATAAGGAAAGAAGATTAATTAATTACTAAAGCTTCGGATAATCCTGTAGTTTATCCACCAAAAATATCCTCCATTTTGAGTTCTCATGACATCCACCAAATTAAAATATCCGAAATTGGTAAAAAAAAATAAATTATTTATTATAACTTAATATATATTCATCAGGAAATTTTTGTGATGTAATAAGGCTTATGTATAATGTCAGAAAATTTTCATGATAGATAACAATTTGTAATAATATGAATAAATTACTTATATAAAGAGTGGTATTCCAACTGTTTGTAACAAAAATCAAAAAAAACTTCTCATAATAATAAAATTAACAAACAAACAAACCAGGTGAAGATCCAAATCAATTGCCTAAAGTAACTAAATTAATCAAATCTTTTAATAAATAAATTCATCAAAATTAATCAATTCTCTTTTTTAAAATCATATATAAAAATAGTGATGTTAGCCGTTTTAAAATCCTTAGCCGGCTAAGCCGTTTACTACCTAAATTGGTAATTTGATTTCTATAACAAGAAAGTAACGCAGAAATCTATTACCAAATTTAGAAATTATGCATGCAGATTATTAGCCAGCTAACATCACTAATTATAAATATGTTATGGTTTTGGTATTTGTATTTACTTCTATATCCGATATGTATTCTAGTTGGATGAAAATTTGTAACACCAATGTCGATAACCAGTTAAATTTAACTAACTGGTTAATTTTAAACGGTTAATGGTGCCAATCTAGTTCAGTTATTGGCAATATCTTTATGTATTTTGTTATTATTATATTTGAAAGATTTTCCCCCTTTTATTCAATGAATACAATAAAAATAAATAATGCAGAATGCAGGTCGGAGGTTTTTTGGAAGTAACCTATTTTTAACAGAGAAAAATTCATATCGTACGAATTGCCGTCACACATTTCGAATTTCCCAAATATTTTCTAATTTTGGTGAAAACCCACATTTATCATCAAATTTTTTCTCCAAAAAAAAATGTCAATAGAAAATCTGAATGAACAACAAACATCCAAATCAATTAATTTTTCTGCTTTTTTAGAAAAGATTTCAATGTAAAAGCATGGATTAATGATGCCACTTCGTCAAGTGTTAACTATGTAACAACAACTGTTGAAGTTTCAAAAGAACATGAAGTTCAACTGATGGAAAATAATGTCTCTATTCTTATAGAAAAATTACAATTCCTTTCTCAAGAAATTTCTCATAGATTAGGTAAAACGATTGAAGATGTTACCAAGAGTATGCCAAGAATATTATCTGATTTACAAGTCATGCAAGAGGATACAAAAAACTTAAAGATTGATATAACTAAAGTTAGAAATAGTGTTAAGAATGTTGAAACTGATACTGGCAAGACATTGTTGGAACAATTGAAATCCTTAGATTTGGTAAAATCACACATGGAAGAATCACATGTTGTATTACAAGAAGCAGAAAATTGGAGTAATTTGGAGACAGATGCAAACAATATTTTTGCTTCAAACAATTATCAAAAAGCCAGTTCACGCCTTCATGAAGCTGAAAAAAGCTCAATAATTTTTCTGAATATGAACATTGTCATAAATTATTAAGCGAACTGAAAAATCAACTTGAAACAAAAATTAATCCTCAATTAGTTGTTGCTTTGAGTGGACATGATATTAGTTCATGTCAAAAATTCTATGCAATATTCAGTCAAATTGGTAAAAAAAAAGAATTTTGTAATTATTATTATGAATCTAGAAAAAACATTTTGTAAAATTATGGCAAAATGCATCTATAATTGATGTTGCAACAATGATGAATAAGGCTCCGAACGAATCATTGCAGAAACTGGTGCAGGTCAACATGGAGTAGCTATAGCAACTGTTTGTGCAAAATTTGGATTAGAATGTGCTATTTATATGGGCAGTGAAGATGTTAGAAGACAGGCTCTAAATGTATTTAGAATGAGATTATTAGGTGCAAAAGTTATATCTGTAGATTCTGGTATGTGTTGTTATATGGATGGCTTTTAATCTTAATTTTTATAATAATCATAATTAATCTTTCCTAAAAATAAAATAAAATTATTAGGTAGTAAAACTTTAAGAGATGCTATTAATGAAGCTATGAGGGATTGGGTTACGAATGTTCATAATACTCATTACCTTGTGGGATCAGCAATTGGTCCCCATCCTTTCCCAACTATTGTACGAGAATTTCAATCAATAATTGGAAAAGAAGCCAAACAACAAATGTTGCAAAAAGCTGGTAAATTACCTGATGCTATTTTAGCATCTGTAGGTGGTGGTAGCAATTCTATAGGATTATTCTATCCATTTATTGAAGATAAAAGTGTAAAACTTATTGGAGTTGAAGCTGGTGGTGATGGTAAATGCATTAATTAATTATGTGATTTTAAATAGATATTTTTTGAAATTCACAGAATAATAATAGTATCAATATTTTATAAAATAAAAAAACAAAGGAATTGATACGGAATTTCACTTGGCTACTTTAACTGTTGGAACACCAGGTGTATTACATGGAACACATACATATTTGTTACAAGATGAAAATGGACAAATTAAAGCAACACATAGTATTAGTGCAGGATTGGATTATCCAGGAGTAGGACCCGAACATTCATGGCTAAAAGATACAGGTCGAGCTCAATATGTAACAGAAGCTTTAATAGGATTCAAAAAAATGTCAGAGCTTGAAGGCATTATTCCAGGTAATAATTAAAGGATCATTAATAGTAATAATAACAATAATATTTATACTTTTTATATAGCTCTTGAAACAAGTCATGCCATCTATTATGCATTAGAACTTGCATCAAAAATGCAAAAAGATCAAGATATTTTGTTATGTGTTAGTGGTCGTGGAGATAAAGATGTAAGTTCAGTAGCAGAAGCTTTGCCAAAATATGGACCTAAAATTGGATGGGATATGACAATAGATTTTAAACTATAAATTTCTTGTATTTATTATATAAACAAAATTTTAATTTATGTAATTATTTTTTTATGTTATAAATTGAATCTAATTAAAAGATTCATTGGATCTTTATATATATACACTCCCTGGACAAAAGTATCCGGACACCTGTTTTTACTAATTATACAAAAACGCGCATAGTAATTACATATAAAATTTTATCAAAATGTAGCTTAGGTTTTGATGAATATGTATGTAAATTTTGATACTCTCAAAACATCTAGAAAAATTTTAATTTAAAATAATCCGAAATTCGACGAAAATCGCAATATCAATTTTTGTTTAAATTTACCTTTGTATCTGTATTAACTCTAGACTCTATATCCCAATTTTATTATTTACATTTCCCAGCCAAATTTAGATGGTGATGATGATGGTGGGAGAGATAATGGTAATAATGGAG